CTCTTTCCCCTATCCAAGATGCTACAGGCCCCTGGAGCTTGCCTCTAACATATGTTTGCCATTTATTGTGAAACCCTTAGGGCAGTGATTCTCAGTCAAGGTGCCATGGCACCCTGGGGTACCTTGACATCCTTTCAAAAGTGCCACACAATGTTAGAACTATTAGGTGTGAAAACATGATTCACAATATAAACCCAGAAATTTCAAATAGGAATCCATAGTGTTAAAGACACTCTGACCTGTGGTGGTCTTTCTCAGTTCTTTTTAATAGAAAAATTACTCTATTATTTTTTCTGTGTGACAAAAATTAGTGAAAATGGAGAGCTGGCATTTTCTGAGAGGTGCCTCAAGTCTAAAAAGGTTGAGCACCATTCCCTTGGGGGATCAAACATACCCATGCTCAGTGGTTAGAACAGGAGGCTAAGAATCAAAAATGTGGGTGGGGGGCTTATTTCTGGTCTAACATTGAATCACTACGTGACCCTGGTCAAGTGACCTTTATCTGTCTCAGTTCCTCATCAGTGAATGAGAATGCCAACACAGTATTATTGGTGCTTAGAGGTGAGCTGCAGAGGGAAAAATGGGGTGGTATTATCTTGGTCTACAGCGAAGAGCTGAGAAGGTCTGAGCTTTAAGAATGAGCAAGGGAGGGGAGAGGAACTGTGCTAGTTCTTTTTCATTAAGACTATCAGGAGAGTCAAGGGTTGTCCTCCCACCCACCCCCTTTTGTGTTGTTTTGTTTTGTTTGTTTGGACGCTTCTTGGCTGTCTCATGAGACGAGAGGCCTGGAGGTCACCTTGGCTGAAAGCATCTTGAAAGAGGACTTGTGTATAAGGATTTGAGCTCAGCTGGTGTGAACCAGAATCCAACAGTTTTCAACAGGCAGGTAGGAATTACTTCCTTTTCTCAGTGAATTAGGCCCGTACCTCCTTGTTTCTTGTGATGTCACAGACCTATGAGAGCTTCCCAGGTGCCCTGACAGACTCCTAGAGTACCAGAGCTTGAACTCCATGTAATACACAAGCAGGAAGAAAAACACACTCTGGCCTTCAATATAATAAAAATGCAATGAAGGTGGCAAGTCTAGTTTGTTTCCTTTTCATGGGTCACTTTAAGAAACACATGCATCAAGTAATAACAGCACTGACCTCTTGCAAGGACACAGGGACGCTGCGCTGAGATTCCCAGTGATGCTACTGATGTGTAATGCACTCTTCTAATGCTTTATATGGATATCAGGCTCCCAGGGAGATTGCCAGGAGGGTGAAGTATATATTAATTTCAGGTGCTACCAGCCTGCTTTGGGGATAAGTGACAAGAATGGAGTGTGTTGATCTGTGCACTACATCAGGGAACTACCTCAAAGGCAGATAACCTACCAGTAACCCTACAGCTTCTGACAGAGGCTTGTTGAGTGACCACAGGTGTGCATAATGAATTTATCCTTGAGCCACTGGATTAGCCTGTAACTTGATTTTTATAGATTAAATCAGAGCAATTTATGGAGGCTTGACTAGTGCAGAACTCTGGAAGGTAATTCCTTTGACTGGTAAATGGTGTATATTTGTAACTGTGATAATGTTATATACAGTTTTCATGTAATAAGCAAAGATAACTTTCAGCATTCTATGGGCTCAACGAAGCCAGGTAGCTGGGCAAAAGGGAAAGCCTGGGAACGCTTCTCTGTGTCTTGGAGGAAAGAGACCTTTTTCTTCCATATAGAACTTTTTGTGCAGTTGTACTTGCCTGTTGAAGTTCAGGCAGCAGGTCTACAGTGGAGGCCAATGGACATGATGATAGGGCACGGCCAATCACAATGTGATGGGTCATGGTGCACTGAGTTCCAGGGGAGTTTTATAGTTGGCTTTAACAGGGGCAGGATTTGGGGCTGGTGTTCATTGCCTATACATAAATTGATCATTCTATACAGGTGGGACCTAGGTCCTGGACAGAGAGATTCAGGAAGTGCTATTATCTTAAAGAATAGAACTGTGCCCCCCAAAACCCAGCCTGTATGAAATCACAAGTAACTTTCTTTCTTTTACATGTGCTGTTATGATTTGAGTTAACATCCAATTGGGACTGTGCTTGCTGTGTCCATGACAGATGTGAGTGTGTATGTGTAAACCTCAACCAATGAAAGAGGCTTCTTGGGCTGAGAACAGAGCAGGCTGAAAGAGCCTTCCCAGGAGGGGCTGGGGTTTGCCTGATTCACCCCAAGGAGACTGAAGGCCTTTGAAGAGTATGCAGCTGTTAATACAAAGGGCTCACTGAAAGGACAAAGCAGATAAATGGTGAAAGGAAAGGAAACATGCTTAGATCATGGGCTACTGGTAAAGTGGAGAAAACAGCAAGGGATTGTGTACTCTTAGGAAGAGAGCTGGATGGAGGTGGGAGAGCAGAGAAAGATGTCAGTGTGAGCACTGGGACAGAGGCAAGTGGACATTAAGATGGAAGACTTTTAATCTAGCATAATCAATAGCTTTATCCTGGCCTGCTAGGCTTTGTAGAGCATCCAGCCTTCCTCTGTTTTATTTGACTTCCCTTCTATTTACTGTGGTTCCGTCTCCATTTTCTAGCTTCCATGTCAAACAAACCACACTTGATTTATTCTCAGTGCAACTGACAGAAGTTACTGAGGACAAGCAATGACTGGGTGTGCCTGGGGGAAGGGAAGCAGAGCCCATGTGGGCATGGAAGGAAGTACCCACCAGAGCTCCTGCTTAAGCGCATGGGCATAGGGGGGCCCACCTAAAAATGGAGCTGGATCTTGTGCATCTTGGCCAAATCTCTATTGTGATGGATCAGGCCTATAACCTGTACCCACATGAATGAAGGGACCTGATCAGAATCTTCATACAGGTATACTGATTATGAGCGATTTACTTTCACTACAGTATTTGACTGACTCCCTCCCAATTCTTGACATAGCTAATTTGGGCAGCCTGAGGCTGACCCTTGACAGAGGGTACATCTACAAATGCAATTGCTCTGGGGTGGGTTTACTCTAGAGTAACTTACTCTAGAGTAAACCCATGCCAGGCAGGTGTCTACACGTGTGGAGAAGCAGGAACAGATTTGCCACCACTGACCCTGCACCAGCCAGAGGGATCTCTAGGCTCCCCATGTTTGCTAGCTCAGGGGTTGGCAGGGAGTATGGGGCCAAGAGACAGCCATTTCTTGGCAGGGGCTGGGACACTGCTTCCTGCCCCCAGGAGTTGCCTGTTGTTGGGGTGGGCTCCATCACCAGAGCATGGGTGGGGACAATGTCCCCCTGCCCCAGAAGCAGGAAGATCCAAGCCCCAACTCTGAAATTGCAGAGCGGGGGCTTGGAGGTTGTTATCTCCCAGCTCTGGTTTCCATGATTGTGGAGTGGGGGTTGAGAGCTTCCTGCTGCCGGGGCAGTGGGACATTGTCCCCACCCAGGCTCCAGTGGCAGAGCCCGCCCAAGCAGCAGGCAGTTCCAGGAGCAGGGAGCAATTTCTTGCCCCCTGCTTCCTGGCTGACTGAAAGCACATTTGCTCACAGTCAGCTGTCTACATGTGCCATACTGCACAGTAATTACTCACAAGTAAATTTGCTACTTGAATTTACAGGTAGGAAGTTTACTCACGGTTGAGCAAATTTACTGTGCAGTATGTGTCTGCACATGTAGATGCGCCCCCAGAGAACAGAGCAACTGGCCCTGTCATATGGGATAACCTAGTAGCAGCCAAAATGGAGCCTCCTTTCCACCCACCCACAGAGTCTCTTATCTATTCTTTTGTGGCTGGAAAATAGCCTCAAACATCTGTATAGTTGGCTCTTGTGGCTTTAACTAAGTAGACAGGATGACCATTGCAGGAGGCTCCATATCTCTCCATTTACTCTGCCTCAAGTTCTCTCCAAAAGGCAAAATGGCCAAGAATCTGCTTTCTGTAGGGCAAACAGGTTTCCTTTCAAATCATACCCCCAAGACATCCTGGCCCCTGCCTAGAATGATTCATTTTTGGGTGCTGGTCACCCCTCTATTGATGCTAATGATACAAATATCATACTCAACATTTTAATAACAAACAGATGACAAAGCTGTTTAACCCACTAAATATCTAGGCTTCTTCACTGCTACCCACCCTGGGCTCTCTGCAGGTTTGCTGCTCAGGCAGATTAAATTCCAGTTAGGTCTCAATCCGGTGGATGCTGTCAGATGTCAAGGAGTCAAAAAGGCAGCTTAGCAGCTTTTCAGCCTAGGGAGAAAAGAGGGTGGAGGGAGAACCATGATGTTTATGTGCACACCAAAGGAACTTCCTGCTAAGGGCAGACACGCTTGCTTTTAGTGCTGCAGACTGACACGGCAGCGAGAACTTTTTACCAGGTACCAATAGTAAGTCCCTCTGTATAGCTAAGGAAACCCCAGTGCAGAGCAGGTGATTAGCCCAGAAGAGAGGAATCCTCTTGTTGCCATTGTTACAAGGACATCAGCAATACCCCCGTTTCCAATCAAAGAGATGCAAAAATGAGAACATGCAAAGTGATGGATGGAAATGCTACAGATATCTCCCAGACTCCTCCTTCTTCTCCACCCCAGTCTGGCTCTCCTACTCAATTCTTTGTCTGTCATGCCTGCATAAGGCATGGAGAGAGAGAGGCTGGGGGAGGGCTGTCCTGGTGGTCTCTGCAGCACTGCAGGGCATATCTGGAGTGGAGGTGTCCAGGTTTCTCTTTCCCCTCCCCCACACCAGGGCTTGTGAGGGGGTCCTTGAAAAAATACATCTTGGCTGTTGGCTTCAGTGCCTGCCATGAAGCAATTCTCCTCCTGCCAGCAAGAGTGATGTAAAATTAGATTAGAGGCACTTTACATCATTCTGGCCCTTTTGTCCTGCATGAGAGGGCTGGAGTGGGGTGGGGAGCTTCCCCAGACTGTTTGGTACAGTCTGTTCCTCACTGGTCTCATAGCACCATTCTCTTGGCTTACTAAGATATTTTCCCTTCAATGCAGGGTTTGTTATGTAATTTCCTGCTTCAACCAGAACTTAAACTTCTGGTGAACAACTTGAAAATGCTGTGTTGGGGAGCCGGGAGGACTGGGGGATTAGAGCTGCCAGTCCAGGGAGGCAGGTTTGTCCATTCACTGGATCACTACTACTAAGAAATAACAGTTCAGTGACCAGGCAAATCTTTACACTCTGACTGGCTAATGGTGGGTACTCAGAGGGCAGGTATTCACATACCACAGAGTTACCATGATATAACTGTCTAGTAATTATACAAATCAGATGGCCAAAACCCATCAGAGTGCTTGGAACTGCATAACCATGAAGTCTCATATAGATATGGCCATGGGTCCTCCAGGCCCTGTGATTTGCTGGGGTCATTCTATCTTAGCATGAAACATGCTAACCATGTGCTTTGTTAAACAGAAATGTGAGTGAGATCCTACAGAGCCATAACTAGACACTAGGAGTGCACTCCCCATGCTGACCCCAACCCAAGAAGCAAGTCCTAGAAAACAACATACACTTCCAGCCTCTCTCTGGTGTCACCATACTGCTCCTTGTCCAAGTGGTCTTGAGATATGATGCTAAAAACTAATCTAATGGATTCTTCTGCATCACACAGAAGGCAAATATGAAATGTCTTTTCAGTTCTTCCTGTGGCTTAGCTCCACCCACAAAGGCTTGAGCTCTGCTCATGTTATCTGTTCAAACCCTGATGATTTCCTCATATTTAACCTAGTTGAACTTTATTTAATATCTATTCTTGCTCATTAGTTCTGACCTGGAAGGCTGGATAGCTTTTATGAACTCATTAGCAAGAGGCCAGACGGTCAAACCTGGCTCCCAGGAACATCCTCCAAGGCAATTTATAGTCATCTATTGGTGAGTTAGTTGCTTGGGTTCTGCCCAGTCATTTCTAAATCTATCCTGAGCTTCAGAGCAAAAACTCATTTGCCAATGGGAGATGGTTCATCTTACCGTGTATCCTTCACCCAACAAGGAAAAGCACCATATCCATGACCAGCATAAAGGGGTTTTTGCAGTTTGACTACATAATGCCAAACCATCATTTTCTCTTGTCAGGACAAAGCTGACAGCTGCATTGGTAAATTACAATGGACCTGATCCTTTTCTCAGTGAAGTCAGTGTTTATAACTAGCTTTCAATAGAAAGAAGATTGGGATACATGAGGATTGGACACTTCTTTTGTTTTGTTTTGTTTTTTAGGGGCTATGGAAAGGCACAACACTAAAGTGCTTTAAAGCAGGGAAGACTTACTGCTTGGAGGTGCATGTTAGCTGAACTAATATAAGTGCTTTGTTTGTCTGCTCCTATATTGGTACGCTGGAGCTAAACTAATATAACTTAAAGTAACAATAGCTTAACCTCTATTTAGAGAAGAGCAGAGCATAGAGATGTCACAGTGGATCAGCTGCAAAGTGTTGTAATTCTAAAGATCTTAAACTGTCTATCCACACCCTATGTATAGCATTGCATACACATCCCAACACAGGAAAAGCATCATAATCCTCTTTGTTACAGGCTGATTTTTACATTCATGGTCAAAAGACTAGTAGGGATTTTATATTAGAGACCAGCAATATAATGCTTAAGCAAATCACAGGGCACCCCAAAAACAGACAGACAGTCCACACCTGTTCTCAGGTCACATCATATTGCAACATCTTAGCACCTGGCCTACTGGAAGCAGTAGGCATTACAATATAATAGCCTCAGAGCCATCTAAGAACTGTATTAGCAAAGTTTCCAGGCCATTGTATCACACTCCGAACTCAGCATTATGGGAATTAAACTGCATAGCAAGAGTAGCGCAGAATGCCTCTTGCTAGAAAAAAACAGACAGGCACTGCTGAGCCTGGGGAGCTCCTGATTTGGCTGCATACAAAACACACCTTTAAGAAGGGCTCTTTCACAGCTGTAGATCTGGATTCTGGTACTGAATGTTTATCTTGTGGGAAATCTGCTGCATGGTGCCAGTTCTAATGAGCTCTGTCCTGTCACAGGCACATCTAAAACCTCCTGCTGCTTTCTCAGTGAGCAGAACAAATCCATAAACAGCCTGGTTTGCTAGCAACCATTTCTTGGTCTGTCCCAGATCTTTTATACCTGCTACCACTGCTTGTTTAGCCAGGACTTCCTGCCTCCAAAGCTTGCTGTGGGTTTGGAATTGATCCCTGATGAACTTGACTTAAAACCCGGATTTTAAAGGCACTTAGCTCTCACTGATTTCAATGGGAGTTAGTTAAGCATCTTAAAAATCTGGCTTGTTTGTGTCTTCATGTTTGTAATGTGCTATTAAAAAAATCAAGCCCACCTGTTGCTTTATGGGTTACTGACCCCACTGCCCTTCCCCCATTTGGATCAGAGAGAAGTCCATTCTGCGGGAAAATATATAGGCTTTATATTAGGGTTGGCTGAAAATCTTTCACCAATACTGGTTCCGATTAAAGTTAGATTTCTTACTATACTTGTTTTGAAAAGCAGCTGATCTCTGGAGATGTGCGATACTTTGCCAAGATCCTCCCATATTTTGATTTTAAGTGTTACCATGCTGTCTCGTGGGGGTCTTATGCCTCTAGTTATCTCTATGGGCTGGACTCTTTGCCAAGACTACATCTCCCAGGGTGCCATATGGCCAGAGGCTTCTAGGAAGCTCTACTTCCCTTCACCTTCACTAAGAGAAAAAGGTTGTTTTTGTTGGAATTTTCCTCCCATTTTCAGAGAAGCCCAACTTAATATATACAGCCAAAAGCACAATGAGAAGAAAAATGTACCAGGATCTTCTCTACTTGCCTGCTTCTCAGTTTGGGGATACAGAAGATGCTTCATACAATCCACTACAGCCTGGTTCTGCCAGCAAACACTGGGGAAGTAGAGAATACAAGAAGGGAAAAACAAGTGTTATTTGGTCATTTAACCTATCAGAGTCTGCAAATGACCTAGCTGCGAGGAGGGTTCTGTTCTGTGCCAGCAGCTGTGGCCATGTGCATCTGTTGCTGAACTTCTTTACACAGATAAATCCGGGTTTTACAAAGCTTTGTATAAATGGATTGGGATTCTTAAAATATAATCCCTCCACCATACAGTGATGACCTGTTATGTAATAGGGTCTCTGGGGCAGTGGGGAAACAGGCTCCCCCACCGTTCACATTTATGTTCAGTGGAGAGAAAGGATCTCAGATAGGTTAATTCCAAAAGGCTTAGGTTTCGTTTCTATTAAATGTACAGGACTTCTTATGCTACTCTCAGTGCCATGAAATCTCCATGAGTCCTCCCTTTACCACTTTCACTCTCAGATCCATCACAGCCCCACATGAATCAGCCAGTGAGGGAAGAGGAGATTGTGGGGTGAAAGGGAGTAAGACACTGGGGTAAATACTGCAGGAGTGTCTAGATGACTTAGGGGACTAAGTCCCAGTGAAAATCAGTGAGAAAGGTTCCTAAATCATTTAGCTGCTTTTGAAACCATGACCCATTCCTTACTGTTACAACTAAGTACAGAGTTTGGGTGTCAAAACCCATATAACAAGCCAAATTATCCAGTGATTTTACAGCACTCTTGGATCTATTTAATAACAGCATCTTATATTTCTATAGCACATTTCCTCTCAAAGGAAGAAGTTTAAACACCTCAAAAAGCTTGATTTAGAGCTCACTTGCAGCCACCTCTACTTGGAGAGGGTGCCTTGTAAATAAGAGACCATCGAGAACAATTTTCTTTCCCCCCCCCTCCCCCCCCCCGACTCCCTTTCTTTCCAAATTACTTTGAGGATATTGGTTAAAAATGTAAAGCCATACGCCAAAACTACAGATAGGGTTTGTTCTGGGATAATTATGCTTCAGATGCTTGAGTCAAAATATTTGTTGTTTGACCCCATGGAGAAGAAGCAATGGAATTCTCTGCCCTGAGTTATACGGGGCAGATGAGATGATGTAATGATTCCTTGCACTCTTACAATCTATGAATTATTCAGTTAAAATGCACTGAACTTTTAAAAAACACAATAGTCATGCAGCTGCAACCCCAGGGTATAGGCAGATGTAACAATTGTATCCATATCAAATGATACTGATATAAGCTGTATCAATGTAACTTCCAGCTGCAAGGTTCTGTAGAGCCAGAAGCCTCCCAAAGCTGCTCCAATTTTAACTCTGTTTCATTCAGGGTTAAAGTTCCAGTGATTTGGTCAGTTTGTATCACAACAGGAGCATGCAGATTGAGCAGTTAGATTGGATCATGCTAGAGACTAGGAGTGTGTGTGAAGTGGGCCCTATTTGATTCGGATTCGGCCTGAATCAGGGACAGTGATTTGATTCATTGATTTGGATCACTGTCCTTGATTCAATTTCAGCCAAATCTGAATCTGAAGATTTAATGCTGATTTGGAGAATCAGCGATTCAGACGTAGACACAGCTTTAAAAGTTTTTTCTACATACCTTGAGGTAGCAGGCACGGCTCGTGATTGCTACGATGCTGGGGCCCTCCATGTACTCGGCGGTGAACCTGGAAGTGGACCAGAAGTACTTCTGGTCCATTTCCGGGTCTTCCAGGGAGTGCACTGAGCCCCCCCCCTTCCCCCCTGCATCTCCCTGGGTTGGCGATCGGCCACAGGGGAACCCTGGGTGCCCCCCCAGACCCAGGAGGCACCAGTCACCGAGCTGGGGAGGCGCGGGGAAGTCCCCCACATGCTCCCCAGCTGACCCAGAAGTGGATTGGACGTGCTTCTGGTCCACTTTCAGGTCTGCTGCCAAGCGCACTGGGGAGCCCCCTGCACTTTTGTGGGATGCTCCATGCACCCCAGCATCGCAGCACTCATGAGCCCCTGCTACCTAAAGGTATGTAGAAAAAACATTTAAAGCTCAAATCTTCAAATCTTTCTGAATCTCTCCAAATAGATTCAGAGGGTTCCAATTTGATTTGGAGAGACTAACGGGTCTCCTGATTCGATTCAGATTTGGAGATTCGGCCCCTGAATTGGGCCAAATCGAATCAGGGACCAAAGCTCTGCACAGCCCTACTGGAGACCCAATGAACTGAGCTGATAAAAGAAAGCGGGCGAGTTTCAGAAGCACTGTTCTGTACTGGGATGCCATCCCATTGGATTCACCTCCACTAGTTCTTGGACTGGGTTGAAGTTACTTGTCATCTCCTCTAAACATCTACTTAACTCTGGTCCTCACTTTTTATCTTCACATGGCAAGCTGTTCATAACCCCACACTCTCACTTCTGTGCTGCTTGGAGCAGATCAAATGGAGTTGTGCAGAAACTGATTATTTTTGTTTCCCTTTTGTGTCACACCTGCCTCCTTGTCTGTTTTTCTTGAGCTCCTTGGAGTGGACACAATCCCTTTTTGAGTGTTTTTTGCCCAGTGCCTTGCACTTGCAGAGTGCTGTTATACAGGAATAATAACTACTTGTTCAGACTGGAGTATGCTTCAGACTTTAAGGAAGCTCCCTTGGACAGCAAGTTCTTCAAAAGTGACACATCCCTCTCATATGTGGCACCAGAAGAGCCAGCTTAGGAAAGCACTAATAGGCTCTTAACTACAAATGAAAATACCAGCAAAGCTTGCACTGTCTTGGTGCACACCTGCTTCTTGTTATGCATTATAGCTAATGCTGTGATAAAATGAACAGATTTGCAAGCAGATGGTGAATTTTGCCCCCACTATACAAAGCATGAGTAATGGTTTTGTTTTGAAAAGTGGGGGGTGGGGGTTAATGGGGATTTGTGAAATGGAGTCCACTTCCCAATCCATGGGCAGCTAGGGAAGAAGGCAAGAGGCTGGAGTACAGGCCACACTTGCTACACATTCTGTCATGAATCTTTGGCCAAATTTTCCTAAATACTAGCCTGTCCAGGCAAATACAGAGTCAGCCTTGACAGAGCATTGCAGACCCTTTTTGTTTGGCCAGTTGATGCTCCTTTGATCAGCCATAAGAGCCACCATGCATTGCCTTACAAGTAAAATTCACCCTCTAAGTGAAATCTCACCTTGACTGAGAGGAGCTGCCCTGGAGCCGGAGCAGGGTTGGTTCTATGCATGAAGTCAGGTTATTGACATAGACAAGGAGGTATGTAGCCACATTACTGACCTTCACATGAAACAGCATGGTGCTCCCCCCCCCTTCCAGGATGAAATCACATGCAATTAACTGAAAGGGAATAACTCTTATCCAGTAGAGGACCAGTGGCCTTGTCCTTGGCTATCCAGAGAATGATAATCCCAAGAAATGAACTGATTAGGAAAGTTCAGATCTTATTTGGCTCTTTGGCCACACTAATGCTTGCAAGCACTAGCACTTTTGAGTTCCTCCTTCCATCCCATCTGACGGTGCTCTCTGGAAGCTCTGAGGACTGAACAGCCTGACTCTTCACAGCTTTCTCAAAGGGGCTGTGGAGGTGAGAGCTACGTGATCCCTCTTGCAGAGGGTGACACCATACATGGTCTCTGCCATGTTTTTGACCCAGTGGGGCCACCAAAAAAAGCCACATACATGCAACTGCACATCACACAGCCAAATATCAACTCCCAGTGCTGGGAAACTTTGCCTCTTAGAGCCAAAGGGTTAACAGGTCTGATAATAATTCTGTTCCACTAATCAGATCCCACAAGAGGAGGTTCTGTTTCTTCGATCAGGTTTATTTCTGTACCAGGCATTTGTGGTGATTTATTTAACAGGCTGAGCTTTTATTTTGTTCTCTGGCATTTGTTTGATGTCATTTTTTTCATGGCACATGCAGAATCTGTACAGATTTTCTCCCAAGAATGTTATTGATTCCAACGCAGGCTTATATTTCAGAAAATGTTCTGTATCTATGCAACCGCATTGTAAAGTCACCACACCACCCTTCCCAAGTCCTTGAGAGATGCCCCAGGACCCAGTCATTAAAAGCCTGGATTTAGTACACATGACTTAAAAAATGCGGAATGCTCTGATGTGCTGATGCATTAAAACTCAATATAAATAATGAAGAACATGTTGCCTTTGAGAGGCGCCTAACCTTAGGGGAGTTGAGTTGGAAAGGAATTGTAGAGAAGACAGTTCAGATCAAGTGCTTTCTACCACAGATTGACATGGTGGTCAAGAGTGCAAATAATGTGTGGTTGTCTTTGCTTACCTGTCCAGCAGGAAGTCAAAACAAATAACAGCATTGTCTCGCTGTGCTGCTAACACCAGGCATGGACCATCCATTAAGACAGAGCACTGTAAGAGAGGGAAGAACACAACTCTGGTTCTGAGACCCACTTAAGTAACTCTGTGATCCTCACAGACAAGCTGATAAAGCTCATTATTTGATGCAGGGGAGGATGAAAAAGATGCAGTAACCCATACTTTAAGGCACCTACTTCATCTGAATCCTGTTAGCATTAATTTCCCGTGGCATTTGATTATTTCTATTCATTTACCTCAGAAGCAAGGTACAAACAGGTATATTGGAAAGAGTTACCTCAGGTTTGCTACTCATTTAGCATTAAAAGGTGCCTGCTAGAACAGAAGGATAGGAATTTCTGGGCTAGAAACCTTGAGATAGCCAAGCACAAATACTTATCACGAGAAAGACCTGTCTCCCATCCAGAAGGGGAGAGAAAATGCCATAATGAACACCTTTGGTTTAACAGCGGCAGGCTTATCTGGAGATATGCCAGCCCCTTCCAACTCTGCCTGGGAAAAATGCTTTCATTGCCAGGAGGGCAGCCCCTCCTAGCACTGCTCTGCATCTATTGTGCTACTTCCTTTTGTCCTCCCTATACAGTTGTGCATGTTCCCGTATTCCTAGGGACTGGTATCCTTGGGATAACCACAGGAGATGAAGCTGGTGCTTAGTTTAATTGGTTGCTACTTATAATTGCTCCTCTTTGCAGAGGTAAACCATAGGTTTAAAAGTCAGTCTGAAAATATCTTCCCTGCCATTATTCTCAGTAACCCACAAGACTCATATAACTGAAAGATTAAAGACAATTTTTTTCTGTATTTTTGAGTTGGGTTCCTGTGCATTTGATGGTCCTTTGTTTATAGCTGGTTCCAGCATAATCAATTCCCCCTGTTGGTTACTTTGTGCATTTGACAGCTCTTCTGGGATGTTGATCTTTGCTGCTTTGCTCCCCTCAGTCCCTGACTGGATGGTGTTTTTTCATAGCAACTGAGGAGAGGAAAAGATTTTGGGCCAAATCCTCTGCAGGTATAAACTGGTATGGCTCCACTGACTTCAGCAACATGTTTTGTGATAAACATATGTTAAAGCGATTTGTTGGATCAGGGCTAGAGTTCTCCACAACAATTAGCAGAGGAGTAGAACAAAATCCCTTCCCAATATCTCAAGGGTGGAATCACCATGAAAGGGAAGGCTTATCTAGCAAAGCAAGTAAAGGAATAGGATTAATGGGGTGAAATTAACAATGGGGAAACATCATCTCTAATTATCAGGAAAAACTTCCTCTCTGAATCAATGGAAATGCTCCCAAGAGAAGATATGGATGCTACTGTATTTAAAACCAGGCTGGATACAGCTCTAGCAAATGTACAGTATAGAGCAAACATGCATAGATAGAGGGGGATGCACTGGAAGGCCTAATACAGATTAGCCATGTCTAAAGTCTTTAATACAACTAAGCAAAACCATGAATGTATCAACTAAGAAAACGGCTCTTCTTCTTGGGGAAAGGGGAAAGTGCAGCTCTCACTATTCCATACCATTGCTGAAACCTTGCACTTTGTCATGCTCAGTATCTCAGAGACAAGATGAGCCTGGGATTTGTTGAACACGGTGAGTCGTAACCCTGTCACTGTGAAACCTTGGCCGATCAGCTGGTCTAGTAGTTCAATATAAGGTGGGTGCTCCGAACCCTGAAGGATTATCTTGGGAAATATCAGGCAAGTGGTTTGGCAGAGTGTACCTAGAAGTGGCAGGTCTGATTGGAGAAAGATCAAAACACAACAGATGGCTGTTTTCATTTATATAAAAGAACCTCCTCTCAATCATTCTCCCCTCCCCCAGTCAAATTAAACAACAGAAGGATCAGAGCCATTCATGCAACATTACATTATGTAGGTTGGCTGCAGATGTGATTGCATTTCTCCAAGTGTTGAACTGATGTGTACATACCAGAATATAGTAATACAGTAGTATTTTCAGAGAAGTCAGACAAGGACAGCTCCTGATTTGCTACAGGATATGCTCTTCCATTTAATTTCTTCCAGACAAAGAAATCTGTTAGTCCAGCTGTTTATATGATCTGAACTGTGATGCTGATCACAGACATAATATTTGACGTATTTACTATGATAAATCTGTTTGTTCGTGTTGGAGTATTGGATAAACGTGAGCCAAAGGGAGAGGCTTCTTTGTGTCCAAGCGCTCCCTCTAGTGTCCCCAATGAGATCACAATATGAATGATGCATTTGGCTTACTAGAATGTGATCCCATATCTAGGCTCTCTCAACACAGCCCCACTCTGAAAAGGGCTTTCTTAGATGATATTATGCTAGAGTATTATGGTAGGTAAAGGCATTATTTTACTTTTCACCCTACCTGAAGCTCCTCAAAGTGAAGACACATCATAGGAGTAGTATTTGCATGACAGCACACAGGAGTTAGGACAGGGTATAACATGCAATGTTACATGATACTTGCAACATATTCCTCCTGCCTTTTCAGTGAAGCATTTTTACTTGCAGTAATTTAAATGCATCTAGTTTGGGATTATACTAAACCTGCTATATTCAGCCTAGGCAACCAGTGAGGGAAATACTCTGAATGTTAGGAAACTGCTTGGAACTACAGTTAGGAACATTGTTTAATAAATGCAGGAAGGATTGGAATGGAAAGAAACTGATAGCCTCTTTCCACTGAAAAGACTGTCTTATCTCAGACTTCCTATTTACCTGAGTGGAAAAATTAGATGTGAAGTAGTCACTTAATTTTTACTGCCATCCAGATACAATGGAAAGGTCAGCAAAAACCAGTTGATATAGGGTGTGAAGCAGCCACCCCCTGCACAGTGTTATCAGTATTTTATTTATTCAAGTCCTTTTGTGAGGGTTTGGATGAACCCTGCACATGAGGAAGTGACCTGTGAGTGTAAATAAGGCTAAGGTCTAGGTGTGGGTCTCCACGTGGAGTGACAATTACACCTTAAGTTCCTGTGCAGCCAGTCCCATGCTCATCAACGTGCAAGGCAGGAGAATGAACAAGTTTGAGAAGGCAGGAACTGAAGTGTTCATGAGGCACGTGAGGCCTGGCCCAAAGCTGGCTGAAATCAGTGGAAAAAATCCACTAAGGTAGGGATGGGCAATTATTTCAGCTGGAGGGCCACCTAAGGAGTTTTGGGGACCTGTCAGGGGCCACATCCATCTCTCTCTCTCTCTCCTCTCTTCTCTCTCTCCCTCCCTTCTCTTCTCTCTCTCCCTCTGTCTTTCTCTCTTCTTTCTCTCTTGCTCTCTCTCTTTGCTCTCTGCCTCTTCTTTTCTCTCTGTCTCTCTCCTACTTCCGCTCCTTCCAGAACCCATTGGTGCTGTAGTTCAGTGCAGCAGGCAGGTGGCATCATCAGGTGTGGATGCTGCCAGTAGGTTCAGGAGCCTGGATGCAGAACTTGCCAGCGGCATCCACAACTGACATTCCTACCCTCCCAGCACAGTGGAAGTCCCACTGGAGCCCCAACCTGGAATCTGCTGGTGGCATTAGCTGTGGACCCAGGCAGGAGCTGCTGTTGCACCAGGCAGGCAGCAGGGTCAGCTGTGGGCATAGCCAACAGGTTCCAAAGCCCCGATGTGGAACCTACAGGTGGTATCATAACTGACACCACCACCCACCCGGCACGGCAGCAGCTCCTGCTTGGGTCCATGGTTAATGCCACTGGCATGTTCTGGGTTGGGGCTCCAGGTGGGGCCTCCATGGCATTGGGAGGGTGGTGGCATCAGCTGTGGACACCGCTGGCAGGATATCCAGGCTCCTAAACCTACTGGAAACATCCACAGGTGATGCTACTGCCTGGCCACTGCAGCAGAAGCCGCATCTGGGTCCACAGCAGATGCCTGATGCTGCTGGGTGGGAAGCAGTGCCAATCCAGTTAGTTAGTGGTTGTCCACCTATGGGCCAGACTGAATCTGTTGGTGGGCCAGATCTAGCCCATGGGCCTTATTTTGCCCACCCCTGCACTAGGGTTTTGGATGAGATCCTTTTTCAGGGTGCTACTAGGCAGGAGTGACTTATGTTCTCCTACCTTTCCCCCCTCAGCAGCCAGTCTTTTCTTAATGCACAGCTGAGAACCCTTGTATTCCCTCATCTGCTGTCACTTCATTTTTTGCACTTCTACACACTGCACTTCCACATCTGTTCCAGATCAAATCCCAAACCTGTTGCATTAGTAGTGGGGCCAAGGCATGGCATATCCAAAGGGGACTGTCTTTCTGTGGGAGCGTTTTATTACTATTCTGCTGGGTCCACTAGGATCTAGTGGCTTTACTCATAGGAAATATAAGTAGAACCGAGTGCCTACAGTAGGACACGATTTTCTCAGTATCCCACCCATTGCATATCTGTCCTTTTGCAATTAAACAGACAACATTCAGGTGGCCTGAGAACATAATTAAAGATGGAACAAAATTCCTTTCAGAATACCTGAGCTCCCAGTCAATGTATCCTTGGTGAGATGATTACAAATGACAACTAATTTGCCACCAATCAGGGGAAGAAAATAATCTGACTATTGGCTTTTTACAGAGTTGTAACTACAATTTTGGCATCCTGGGCACAGTGCCAGAAAGGGTGGGAATGCCCCTGGAGCCCTGTTTGCCCCACCTTAGTTATGCTACTGCCTTATTATAAATATTTGGGGTCAAATCACTGCACATCTATTTTTTTTATATTTTGAAGTCATAAGATGGGAAGCTCCAGGCCTTAGGTTATGTCTTTTGCTGTAGAAAGGATCACATTAACAGCTCTGCCTGGGTATCCTCCTGTCCAATAAAAACAATAGACACAGCCTGGAAAACCCGTAGTCTTTCATTCAAGGGGACTAAATGACTCAAAGGACTGAGGAGGCTGCAAGTTCCAATCTAACTGAATTCAGCAATGACTGAAAGCCATTTTGATTTGACAGGTGTTCAGTGGCCAAAAAAATAGGACATGAGTGGGTCTCAGTCCCATTTCCAGGGAGATGCCCACATCACCCAAAACACACCCATACCTCATGTTAGTTATCAATCTGCTTAGCTAAGGGTCCTAGAATGTGCCCACAAACAAGGTTACACATTATACTAATGCCATTAACATGTTAATCTCAGCATAAATGGGCAGGGTGCTACACGTGCACCTGATTTAAGGCACCATAATATGGGAAACCAGCCATAAAAATGTTCCACATATAATGTAGAACATTTTTATGGCTTGTTTGTATGGCACCTTTAATGTTATGTGTGGCTGGGGCAGACAATCAGCTGACTGTTGGTTCTGGGGCCTAGACCACACTGGGGTCTGAAATGACCTGGGTCTGACATTCAGCTGAATGTAGCTCTGCCCCTAGACTGGGAGGGTGGGAGCTGCATGGTACTTTATGCCCCACACCCAGCTGCTGGGCCCAGGAGATCAGAGTATCCCAAGAGTATCCCAAGAGTATCCCAAGGAACTTCCCCCACTAGGGACTTTAAACCCCACACAGAGGTCAGGGACCAGGATTATGATTATGGGATCATCCTGTATTGTAAAGTAGTAATGGTAGAATAGGGATCTGACTCTGATTCCAAAATCATACCTGATTGCTGGGATCAGGGATCAGGTCCCATTGTGCCATTAAATGAACATGTGTCGGGGCCCAAGAATCTGACACCTCAGGAGCAGTCTTCACAGGGTAGCTAGGGAATAAACAGGCTTGGAGCCTGAAGCAGCTTCTCAAGCAAGGTCTGACTTAAAGTGTGTATTGCAGGGAAGCTTGCACTGCTGTTCATCTACTACCTGTCTCCACAGACAGAGGACCCCAGTCTTCCAGATGTTCTGGTCTCTACTTTTTATTGGAGCTAAATGTACATCAACAAAAGTATGGGTATTGGAGATGCTTGGTATACAAGGGGTTAAAGGTGCAAACTCCTTCCAAGAAGTTCTTTCCAGCTCAGAGTTGTCTCTCCTTCCTGAAAGGACATCAGTAATGACTCTGGCTGCCACTAGATGGTTTGTCTTTCTATCCAATTAATCAATAGCAGTTTGAGGCCTACAATGAAAGAGTTATGCATTGCCTTACCTAACCTGGGCAGCTGCTCAGAGCCCAATAAATTGAGTTGCCTTCTCACTTCACATTTTACAATTTTGCGCTGCTTGTTGATTTCCAGAGCGAGTATTGGGTCACATTTAATGTTCCAGATCTGCAGGAAGGAAGGGGAAAGGCATGTCATGTGAACAGTATTACCTAATGAGGAAGAATAACACTCTCTAGCTGTCGATTCAGGCCAGCTGTGAAGCATTTGTCAGGATGCTGCATATGCCTGTAATTGCTACCCTAGAAAACACCTGGTCATGTTGTCTGATGTTAAAAGAACATTCTGCATACGTTCTCCCTCAGCTGGTTCTGGTTCAGCCTGGTGCCTTGTTACTCTGACATCCCTTCCAAAGTCTGCATGAAACTCTTAAAGGCCACATTCTCCAGAACCACAAGAATCTCCAAGACACTATTTTACATTCATCCAAAAAGCCTCCTTTCCTTTAGTATGACTATCATTTCTAGCTCCTCAAGTTTGCAGATACTGTGATCATAGTGGAAAAGAAATCTGAATAGCTATGTGAAAAGCAAAGGCATCATTTCATTTCAACTACTGCAGTTCATGTGTGTGTGTGTGTGTATATATATATATGTGTGTGTATGTATGTATATATATGTATGTATGTATGTATATATATATTTACTGGTGGTTTAAGTTAAAGACAGAATAGACCATTTAACCCTTGATATAGGAACAGCATCACCCTTTTAAGATGGAGTCTGTGGTCTGTATACAGTTTGCCAAGAGATGTATTACTGGCCAGATTCTATTCCATTTTATTCCACCCTGTTCAAATCCTGAAAATCCATTAATGCATCTACTTTGTAACATGTCATCATCTGACCCTTAAGACTGAGTCACAAAAGGGCTATGAGAAGGAGGAGGACCCACACATCTTTTGCATTGTTTTTTCAGGGACTCAAGCAGAATGGCATAGAATAGTACTTAGGCACTTTAGTTCACTTAAGTACCCATATAGATCAAATGGAATCTGTCCTTATATGTGCTATGAAAAGGTACAGGTTGGTAGCACCCACACATGGGTTCACAATGCTCTCTCTAAGCACTGGATACCCTTCCTTTTACTTGTCTCTTTCTGCCCTTGAATCCTTTGCATGGTAGCTCATTCCAAAGTATGTAGCGGTGAGGGGAAAAACATGTACTATGGATTTCTGAGGAGTTCTAGGGATAGATAAAAGGTTAATGAGACCCAGGTAAGACTGGGACTTCTGAGACAAATGCAACAATCCATCTGAAAACCTAGTTCCTTTCCTGGAGACTTTAGTCCTTACTTCCATTCCCAAGCATTCACTGGGCATGTCTACACGAGATGCTTTACTGCACAGTAGACTAAACTGCTGTACAGTAAGGTGTCACCATGTAACCGTGCACAGCAGCTACTGCCCAATAAATTAAGCTAACGTGCAATTTTCTATTACCCGTAAATACAGGTAGTAGATTAACTGTGCATGAGGTATTGTGCAGTAGCACTCATGTAGACACCGAGCCGGAGACAATTTGCTCCTGGTCAGCCACACCGGCAGGGGGCCGCAGGGGACAGAGGAGTTCTCTGTCCCCAGTCCTGGCACTCCTCAGCTCCTGGCAACTTCCAGGAGCCAATCAGGGCTGGGATGGGGTCACTCTCTGCCCCCCCCCCCCCCCCCCCCCCCCACCTGCCCTGGCACTGCATGGCACCTGGCTCTCCACATGAGCTAGTAGCCAAGCAGTGCTGGGACGGGACTTGGGAGCTCTTTGCTTCCCTGTTCAGTCAGGGGCTTGCTCGCAACTGTCCCACTTGTGTAGCTGCTGCCAGTGAGGTTCCCTGCCCAGTCACCAGTAGCTGCCTCACAAGTGGCACAGCTCCAGCCAGCCTCCGGCTGCGGAAGGAATCCCCGCCCAGCTGGGGGCTCACTAGCAGCTGTGTCTCGATGTGCATGGGGCCAGAAGACGTCTGCCACCTGCAGCAGCATCTGTCTCTTGGCCCCTGCACATCAGGACCCCTCCTGATGAGCATGGGGCCAGGAAACAGCTGCCACTGCAGCCAGCAGAGCTCTCTTGGTCCCATGCGCATCAGGACTGTCCCCCATGCTCCTTGCCATTCCCTGGGCTAGCACCCTGGGGGAGTATGGAGCTCCCCCTGGCTGCTGCAGGGGGGCAGAGCAAGGCAGGAGCAGCTCGCTGCTCCCATTGGAAGCAGAATTGCTCCCAAAAAGGTGCATGTGTAGATGTGCTCCTGGGGAAAGCTTACTGCACAGTATTTTATTGCACAGTAAGTCAATACTGCATTAACAGCACATGTAGATGTGCCCATTGGATATGAAGTGTTCAGAAAGTTGTGAGTGCTGGTCTCAAGATAGGGAATTCACTCTGTTTCCAGAGAGTGTTTCATACTGCAGCTTTTTTATGCCCCAAGTTACTTCCATGTCCTTACTGAAGTCTTAACATTTCTCTCTTTCCACTGCTTTATATACCTCACCCTTGAGGCTTCCATCTTCCCCACAAGAGAGGACTGGATGGTACTTCCTTTGCAGCTCACTGATCTCATTCCATAGTCACTAGAGGAAAGGGGCTTTTCAGTAGCATGACACACCGCTTTCCCTAGGACCTGAACATTTGCTAAGGATAGGAGATATTTCGAAGATTTCTGAGGCACCCTCCGCCTTGTACATACAAAGTAAATACATCCCTTCAGCACTCCCAGCCCCTTCCATACCCAGCAAGAAACTGGGAGCAGGAAGCTGGGTAATGCAGTTGTTTTTATCTATTTCAAAGTGGCTTTTTTTGGAGGTTGTCATCTGTCCTTCCCCAATACAAACCTAATACCTACAGCTAGGCACCTGACAGTGAATTTACTATCGAACTGGAAAGCAAGGGGAGGACTGGGTTGTTTTTGCAGGTGGAGGCTCCTCCCCACACGCGTGGTCAATATTTCAGTAGGGATCCTCAAACAGCTGTAATTCTGGCAAGATACCTCCCAGAGAAATTCTCTTTCAGTGCCAGTTTTTCCTTCCATCTGTTTTGAAAATGGGATTATCCTGAAATTCGTATGACTTGACAACAGGTCTGGGAAAAGCCCTTCTTCTCCATCATGGTGATGGATTGTGAGGAGCAGGAGAATGGCACACCAATATTAGTAGGGTCATCAGCATTTGGTATTAATAAAAACCATCAAGCATGATCTTTCAGAAGTGCTGAGCATCTCACCCTCTAACTGAAGCACACAGGAGCTGCCATAGTCTGTGGCTCTGTAAATCAGACCCCAGCTTTTTACCCAGTGGATATCTTAGATGATTAATTGCTCCTGTTGTGTAGCTCTCTCTCTCACTTCAAATGCACCCTGTTGACTCAGTCTGGAAATCTTGATCCTGAAACTTTGGATTTGGCCTCTCATTTGCCCAGTAAAATTTGCCACAAATAGAATTTAGGAAAGCCTCTCTCTTACTGGGATGGTGGGAATGTATAGGGTTGAAGGAAAAGTCAATAACTGAGCAGTACAATAGGAAGCATCATAATGAAGAGAGTCCTGGTATTGTAGGGAACAAAGCCATTATTTTAAAATAGTAGGGATTATTTTTCAGGTAAGGCCAGACTTACCTCGTCTTCTTCTAATACCTGGCACTTAGCACAACACAGGCCTTCTGGAAAAAACAATTTCATATCCTGAATAGCCATTTGGTAGGATACAGACCCTGATAAACGATACAAAGAGAGGATTCTATCAGGCTACGAATTAAACATTCTCTCAGCTCACATCTTCTTCCTGGGAGATTGATGGTATGCAACTTACTGAAGTAATTGTTTGAAAGGGCAGTTGTTATAAACAATAATAGCAAACATTTAAAAGCATTATATTTAGAATTGTTTCCTTGTCTTCTTGGTATTTTGATTTTGCTCCATTATGGCTCAGCTTGTTCTTTGTGTATACAACATTCCTTTTATTTCCAAGCAGTATAATCAAGGGAATCATCGTAGGTAGACAGTGAAGCAGTTCCAGCCTTCCTTCTGCCCTCCTGGGCCTTAGTCAAATATTCCTTTGTTTTGGCCTTTCCCCCAAGCCTACTCATGGTGTCACTTTCTCTGGTCTAGCTTTCTTTGGCAGACGCCCTGTTCTTCTCTACCATTAGAGCACTTTGGCCCCTTACTGCTGGGACCCTTCCCCTATAGCCCTCTAAAACAGCTCTTGTGCTGTAATATCCCTTTAAGGATGCCACACTGTATTAGTGCAGTTAGGTGTGCAAATGTCTACTCATGATTCACAGGACAAACCCAGAGATTCCAAATAGGATTCCATAGTGTCAAAAGCATTTTGACCCAGTGTGGTCTTCCTAAGTTCTTCACAACAAAAGAATTGCTCTATTACTTTTCTGAAGTAAAAAAATCAGTGAGAGCAAAGTTGGCACTTGCTGTGGTGCTGTGAGTCTAACAAGGGATGTCTTAAGGCTAGAAAGGTTGAGAATCACTGCTGTAAGAACAGGGCCTCACATTCTGTAGGTGCATCTACATATGCAATTCATGTGAAGCAATAAACTGCAGCACATATTGTGCCGGAGTTTATTGCTCCTGGGTGCCAGGTTTACCCATGTACCTGGGACCACAGTATGTTTAGCTGGGTCGAAGTAACCCCGGCTGGAAGAGGGCCCCAGGGGTCAGCCTGCCATCCTGGAGCTGCTTCAATCTGGCTCAACTTGCTGCAGAAGGGCTGGCTAGGGCGTGAGGGTGTTTCACTGCAGGACTAGTCAGCAGGCAGCCCCTGCACTGAAGTACCCTTGTGCCCATAGGTGGCAGAAGTGGGGGGGCTAACAGGGCTTAGCACCCTCAAACATGGGGCAGTGTTAGGGCTGCAAGGCAGCCTGGCCGAGGGCTTTCAGCGGCTGCAGCAGGTGCGAGGAAGGAGTGGGGCTGGGGCTAGGCCAGGCAATGCACAGTAGGGCTGTGCGAAATTTTGCCACCAGTTTTGTTTCAATGTTGTTTCGACCTGTTTCAAGGTCGAAACAGCAAAATTGAAACGAAACAGATATGGTTGAAACAGTCTCGAAACAAAACGAGGCAAGTTGAAACGTTTCGCTGTTTCGACGTTGTTTCGACATTTCACCCATAGGCTATAATGTATAAGGTCAAAACAGCCTATAACTTTGTCATTTCTGGTCAGATTTGTCTAAAACTTGTAGGAATGGAAGCCCCTTCTGAGGCATAAAGCCTGCCAAGTTTCAAGAAGATAGGTACAGGGAGTTCGGAGAAACTGTACCCCAAAGTCTTGAGAGACAAACTTGTGTCATGTGTATGTGCATGAGGTACAGAAACTGTACCTCAAGCTGAGGACAAGCAAAACTCATGACATGGGTGACACTGTGTGTGTTAAGGCACAGCAGGGTGAAAGCTGCAGGCCTGCTAGCCCCTGCTGAGGCCATGAAGCCTGCCAGCTGTCAAGGATAGGTGCAGGGCTTCTGGGTTCTGGGGCCCTGCACCTCTAGCTGCTGACAGGCAAAACTTGTGTCATGGGTACTTGTGCAACTGTCTGTCTTGGGGCACGGGGGAGGGGAAACTACTGCAGGCCTGGCTGCTAGGCCCTGCTGCGGCCACTAAGCCTGCCAGCTAGCAAGGAAATAGGTGCAGGAGGGTTCTGGGGCCCTGCACCCCCTAGCTGCTGACAGGCAAAACTCATGACATGGGTGCTTGTGCAACTTCTGCCCCTCATCAGGCAGCAGGACTGAAGATCCCCCATCACTTGCCACCACAGACCTGGGGGTAATAATTGATCACAGTATGAACATGAGCTGGCAGTGCGATGCTGTAGCCAGCAGGGCCAACAATACAGTGGCATGCATTAGTTGATGCATCTCCAGCAAAAACATTGTAAAGAAGTGATTCTCCTGCTCTGCTTGGCTCTTCTCAGCACTGGTGAGATCGCAGCTGGAGTAATGCATCCAGTTCTGGGCTCTGGACCTTAACAAGGATGTGGTAAAGCTTGAGAGAGTCCAGAGAAGGGCTACCCATATGATCAGAGACTTGCACAGCAAGCTGTACAAGGAAAGGTTGAGGGACCTGGGACTCTTCAGCCTGAAAAAGAGAAGGCTGAGAGGGGACTTGGTAGCTGCTTACTGCTACATCAGAAGTGTACATCCAGGGCTTGGTGAACAACTGTTCACCAGGGCACGCTTGGGGAAAACTAGGAGTAATGGTCACATTCTGGACACCCTCGTTGTGAAGTAGTTTTTCCTAATGTTGAGCCTGAAATGAGTCTGAAATGATCTTCCAGGAGTTTGTGTCCATTACTCTTCATTTTCCCCAAGGGTGCCTTGGTGAACAGCTGTTCACTGAGCCCGAGATGTACGCTTCTGATGTAGCGGTAAGCAGTTACCAAGTCCCCTCTCAGCCTTCTCTTTTTCAGGCTGAAGAGTCCCAGGTCCCTCAGCTTTTCCTCATGTGGCTTTCCTTGCAAGTCTCTGATCTGCAAGTCTCTGATCATACGAGCAGCCCTTCTCTGGATTCTCTCAAGCTTTACCATATCCTTGTTAAGGTGCAGAGCCACACATCTTGTCAAAATGAAATGCTGTTCTGTCAAAACGTTGAAAACGCTGGACGAAATGGAACACTTCTGTTTCGCACAGCCCTGCACAGCCAGTTGGGTGCGGGACTGAGCTGTGTGCAGCTTGTCCAGGGGGCGCAACTCCTGCTGCTATACCTTGGGAGGCATGGAGGGATCTGCGTGGCACAAGATGGGCTGCTGCTATGGGCTGGGGCCAGGGCTGTGGTGGTGGTGCTGGGAGGGGGCTATGGGGGGTGGGGGGGGGTGCAGCCACCCCAATTCACCATAGTCCCCCCAACCCCCCCTCCTAGCACCAGAGCTGCCCATTCCAGTGCAGCCTGGTCCCCCTGCCAGGAAGATTCCAGCGCTACCCTGGCCCCAGCCTGCCTTGCCCCATGCAGATCCGGGGGCATGCGCCCGCCATGACCCCTGGGATGTGTGCAGTGGTGGGAGCTGCACTCCCCACCCCACCACGCGCCCCCCTGGATGAGCCATGGCTTCATCCTGCACCCCACCCTGACTCGGGGCGAGGTGGGCACGAGGGTCCCGGGGGCTCCAGCCCAGCAGTGCAGCCAAGATTGGCTCTACTCCAGCCCCCAGTTCCAGGTCCCCCGGGGCAGTGCAGGGCCGGGGCTGGGGCCAGGGTTGGGGCTGGGGCCAGTGTGGGGAGGCAGCTGGGGCCAGTGTGGGGCTGGGGGGCGGCAGATTCATTGGCGTAGGGGGCGCTGGTGCTGGGCAATGACCCTGGGTGCGGGGGAAAGGACAGGCGCAGCACGCCCCAGCCCCAGCCCCAGCCCCAATCCTGGCTCAGCTCCGCTCCCTCCCAACCCCTGCCCAATCCCAGCTCCAGCCCCACTCCCTCCCCACTGGCCCTTTCCCCTTTCCCCTCCCCCCACAGACTTTCCCGCCTGGGGGGGAAATGCTCAGCCCCCTCAATTTTTTTCTCCCTCTGCCTATGCTTGTGCCCCAGTCAGCCCCATCAGTACCTACACTTGCATTTCTTGGCAATAAATAATGCCACTGCAGGATAGCACTTGTATTTACAAGCACTAACCTATGACAGCATTTATTAGTTTACTGCAATCTCATAGGGCCGCACATGTAGACACAGAGACTTTGCTGCAGAGCTAATTAGGCAGCTCTGCAGTAAATGGCTCAGGACTAGATCCACTGTTTCATCCCTTTAAAGGACCTTCCTCTTCTCTATTCTTTCTTGTAATGGGGACACAGCAGGGGCCTTTTACATGGTTAAAGCACAACACTAGAAGTTAGGCATGGTGGAATCTGTCCTCTTTTTCTTTAAAGACAGTAGATAGGGGGAAAAAGATTATGATAACAGAGGCAGCCATGGAGATGACTAAATGAATGGAGAAGACAATGAAGCTGGTTGGATGTAAAAGATGTACATTATTCTTGAGTGAGTATCTGAAGGAAGATACTTATGCTTGAGTTGTCATAGACTATCCAAGGACTGTACAGGTAGCTGGATACAATGGTAGAGTTAAGATGTTTGTTTGAAATCAATATGGAGGAAAGGAGAGAAGAGGCTGCACAGACAATGTAAAATATGTAGATACCTGACTAGACCCCTGGAGGTAAAAGGTGGCTTAGGAAAACATGTGATCATGAAGGTCATGTGGGAGGACAATAGACCAGTTGACTGATGAGCTATTGAACTGAAGAACAGATTTGCTGCATTAGAGAAAAAAAGAGGGAAAACAGACAGAAACATAAGATGGGGTGGCAAGGAATAAAAGAAGAGCTAACTCCACAAGAAGAAAGGAAGAACTGGATGAGCCTGAAGACTGCTATAGTGGAAATGGGATAATATTTAATAGCATGAAGTGCAAGGTCATGCTACTGGGGGACTAAGGCCTAGCTTCATAAAGGTATGTAGATACCTCAGTCTTATTTCTCCTTGATTTCTATGATAAATCAAGTGTCTGAATACCCTTGTGAATTTGGCCCTAATAAGAAGAATTTCCCCTGTAAGCTGGAAACTGTTGGCAATGACAGAAGCAACGATGAACAATCAGAGTGATTACCATTATGAAAAAGCCAAATACAGCTCAAGGATTTATCAGCCAAGGTTCCTACAGTAGAGAGAGGGGAGTATTAATGCCATAATACAAGGCACTGGTGAGACCTAGGCTGGAATTCTCT